CCACTCACTTCCCAACGTGCTTCCGCGAAGCATGGAGCAGCACTACCGCCACCCATGCTTCCCCAGCCCCGTCCACACCCAAGCCACGCCGTCTCACTCCCCTCCATCTTCCCTCCCCACCCATGCGCCTCCCGTCTTGCTCCCCTCCATCTTCATGCGCCCCCCGTCTCGCTCACCTCCATCTTCCCTCCCAGCCCCGACCCCACGCGCCTCCCGTCCCACCCACGCGCCTTCCGTCGCGCTCCCCTCCACCCACGCACCTCCATCTTCCATCCCAGCCCCGTCGCCTCCCGTCTCGCTCTCTCCATCTTCCCTCCCCAGCGCCTGGCGTACTTCTAAAGGGCTCCGTCCGACTCTGCGCCGCACGGTCTCCGACGGATCCCCAGTTTGGGCCACGTGTAGCGTTGGGCGCATGGCAGTTCCGTCTTTCGTCGGTTGGCTTTTGGATGTATCACATACCTGGAACCTGAGTGACCCCTGTTTTGGAGGGTCAACTATCCCACATATGGCCTTTTCCTGTGAAAAAGGGGTCAAACGGATTCTAGGTGTATACATATAGTATATATCAACTGGTTGTTTTCAATCTGCAGCTAATCTCCAGTAACATTGCAACATGGCTTCTGACAACCGTTCCAGGAAGCCTGGAGCAGTATCGGCCCCCTCCAAGGTTCGTTCCAACCGTACAATTTCCCACGTTGCGCTTGTGGCGCATAACGCTCCTCCCGTGTCGGCCATGCCTTGACTGTGGCATTTTGGACACCCAACCCCATCATATCAGCCCCGCAGCACAGCTCCACTCACCACCCAACACACGTCCGCGAAGCATGGACCAGCACTACCCCCACCCATGCTTCGTTCTACTTGTGCACTGACCCGGAGCAGCCTACCATGATGCTTGTGATGCGAGGCGCGTCGGTAGGGACGGGGTTGGGGAGGGAAGATGGAGGGGAGCGAGAGCGCAGGCGCATGGGCGGGGTTGGGGCTTAGGTATGGTCTTGGGTGTCCAAAATGTGCACAATGCCTGCGACAGCCTCCCGTCTCGCTCCCCTCCATTTTCCCTCCCCCGCCATGTCCCCACCCATGTGCCTCCCGTCTCGCTCCCCTCCATCTATTCCCTCCCCACGTCCCCACCCGTGCCCCTCCCGTCTCGCTCCCCTCCATCTTCCCGTCCCCACCCATGCGCCTCCCGTCTCGCTCCCCTCCATCTATTCCCTCCCCAACCCCGTCCCCACCCGTGCGCCTCCCATCTCGCTCCCCTCCCTTCCTTCCCCTCCCTTCCTTCCCCTCCCTTCCTTCCCCTCCCTTCCTTCCCCCCTCCCTCTTCCTTCCCTTCCCTCTTCCCTTCGCAACCCCGTCCACCTCCACCTCCATCTTCCGTCCCCGACAACGTAAGCTTTTCCTCGCTCTCCCCCGGCACTAGCGACTAAACGAGAACCCAAGCATCGGAGATGCTTTTGGGAAAAAACACACATCAAAGTCGATTGCGGCTGACAAACCTTGTGCCACATGGTTCGGACCTTTTTGGTTTCAGAACATTTTCGGAGATATTGAACCAGCCAAGCAGATGGTGAAGGAGTTGCTCCAATCTTTGAAGACTTCAGCTGGGCTGATGTGCCTGTTCGGCCCAGATGTAACCGAACTGAGTCGTGGGACATCAGGGTCTCAGATTGAATCCTTTGACAAGTGATAGACCCATCAACTATAGCAGCATGAACTGTTTCCTACAGTCATTCGTCATGAGATACCAATTGCAACCGACATCAATTTAAAGGGTAACTACGTGCATTGCATTGAATGTATTCGCGTGTGGGCAAGGATTCCAGGCCATAGCAATTTGCGGAGCCGTGCTAGACTGTTTGGCCATGGCGGCCGCAGCTGCAGCGGCTGCCTCCAAATACACTGGCAAGTGCGACAAAGAACTGTCAGAAACACGTCTCATGCGGTAAATGGTTCCTTTATGTTCCTCTTAAGTGAGCTCAGCGGTTAGCTCTCGTCATGTTCTTCATGCTTCGAGTCCGAGTGTTCAACTTTCCTTGGTTTCGATTTTATGGCTTTGTAACTATGTATGTAGTTTTGTCCGGTCATTCGTTCACGACACTTTTTGCAAGGTGTTTTTGGTTGGTTTCTGATACATTTGAATTTGATCATCTGATTCTGCCTTGTTTAGGTACGCCTTGCATCCTTTGCTCCCTGGAGCTGCGCAAGCTGTTGCTGATGTGCTAACCTGAATGCGATGCCATTCTAATTACAAGATGCAAAGCTCTCAAGCTGCGCTTTGATGCGATGCTTTCCATGCTTTCCAAGCTCGCAAGGCCTGCAGAGGAAAGCTTCATCCATCTTGGACTGACAAAGCACAGACCCTGTCGCGAGCCCAAACAGTCAAAATTTGACACTCATGCCATGAAATCGAGAGCTGCAACAGCTTAGGTTGAGCACCTGGGAGCACCGCCGGCCTGTTTATAGTTTTAAAAGCATTGTTGCCCAGATGCTTTCGTTTGTATCAATTTGTCCTACAAGACTCGGAGTTTGCCCATACACGTCCACAGGAAACTGCATGTGTGCATGCCCCGCTATGCCAGCTTCATGGCCTGGAGCTTGAGGTGAGAAAGGATACATCACAAAGCAAACAGTCCACCATGAACTCCATCAAACAATGCCTTCGGACATGAGGCAAAGTGCAACAGAAAGGACCTCAAGCGGTGCTTTCCCCAGATGCGTCAGCCGGACATCGCATTCAAACGTAAATTTTTCTTTTGGCTGCTTGAATGATTCGCATCGATACAACAGTCTCACTATCAAAAGATAATCTGTTTGATGTTTCAGAAAGGTTTGATACAACTGGTGGAGTAGTGATATGATGTCAACCGTTTCATTCGGAGTAGTCTGTTGTGTTGCTGCACTCCGCTGCACAGATTAAACACAGAGCCAAGCTGGCATTCAATCCATCCGATCTGAAATGGGGGGCACTGTGAAGTCCGTTCTGCAATAGACCCAAGCAGGACCACCATGATTTTTCCAGCACGCAAGAATTGTCACGGACTTTTCTCTCCGCAATGCTGCGTGAACAACAGTGAACCGCTGATCCAAACAAAGTTTTAAGCAAACTTCAAGGTTACTGAAACATGCCTTCGCCTTAGTCGTCATTTCTAAAATTAATATTTAAGATGGTTAAGTATCCATTGCCAAAGCTTCTATTCGCGGAGAACCGGAACTATACAGACATCACTGAGCATCGGAAAAACTGCATATATTGTACATGTAATTACTTTAGTCATGAGACGCCTTGAGTATTTCTGAATTGATCAGAACCTTGCAAAACTGACAGGGGCCAACCCTGTTCCAATACCCTTTCTTGACTGAAAGTAGAACATTGCTGGGCCGCACCCAAAATACCGGCATTGGGAACGTGAACAAGTTTTGTTCGCGACTCACGGACACTGCACACAAGCCAGGGTCATGCACTGGCTTCCAGCAGAGGCCTCACATCTTCATGAATGAGCAGGCCCAGGCAGCACTAGGGGAGTTCAAACCTCAGCGATATAGCGAGAAGAACGGCCAAGCATTGACAGAACCTAGCTGTATGCGAGACTCCTGTTGTGAACTGAAGTGAGAGAAACCAAGATTGACAATGAACTTTGGGTGTATGTATTACTAAGCACACAAATGTGGGCATCATACTGTTGCCATTGCCACAAGACTCGCATTCTGTGCGAATTGACCAGAGCTTTTGTAGCCTTCTGGCCAAGTCTGATTTCATGCATTGGGTGTTGATTTTGATGTTAGTAGCAGCAAACGTCGCAATGGCAAAGCAACGATGGGTGTGAAAACTAGCAGAAGCTCATCGCCACTTTGTGATTGCAGTGTTTTTTTTGCACCTGACCTTGAGGTTCTACCTTTGCTGTGCTCTTCGATTGAGAGCCAACGAAGTGGAGGCCGCCGGTGAGGTCGGGTCTTTTGTTTTGAAGCTGACTATGGCTTTGTGTACCATAAGGGGCCGCTCCGCTACTGGATTACCGCAGGATTCTGCCAAATTGCTTGACCTCGCCGGTCAGGCCTCCAAGACATTGAATTCAATCTTTGGTTTGCTGTAAGTGATTTCAAGCGGCTCCTTGTGACACTCTTTTGTATGAAGAGAGTCGGCAACTTTGGTCTTTGTCCACAGGTTGCTCAGAATGATGTCGAGCCCTTTTTCCAGGAGCGTTTTCAAAAGACAAAAGCACAGGCTAAGAAGCTAAGACCAAGAGTCAGAGTTTGCCAAGATCTTGCATTCTAAAAGCTTTTGGATGCTTCCGCAGGACTGCCGGGAGTTTGTTGCAAACTACAGTGAGGTGTGGTGAGGGGTAGATATCTCAGAGAGTCGACCATCCCAAGACTTGAGGCCCTTCACAGGCGCTTGGATGACACCACGGTGTGGCGTGAGGCATATGGCCGAAAACTGTTTGACTAGATAAGCGTTCTAATCTTATTCTGTTTACAAGCTTGTGCAAGGTAGAAGATGGGCTTTTTTGGCACCACAGCTTTGAGGTTGTTGCGGAAGAGGCAGATCGTCTCAAACAGCTAAGTGTGCTGAGCGATCAGCACATGCCAGCAGACAGCTCAAGCATTGGGTCTGCAATTGCATGCAAAGCTGAGACTTTCAAAGAAGTTGACTTTAAAGGTTGGTCGAGGTGGTTCCTGCATGTATTATTGCGCTTGGCACTCGTACTCGTCCGACTTTGTCTCCAAGGGATCCTACGTTTCTACTTCTAGTGCTTGTGGTATCATTCCAAGGGCGAGTGGCTTAGATGCAGGCATACAGAGATCTCCGACAAGAAGCTCTTCCTCCAGAGGCTTGTCTTCCTCAACCCAGAAGCAAGAACCATGCACGAACCGTTTTCAAGAACCGTTTTTCAGATTTGCCACTATCACATGTCACCAACTGTTCCTGTTGTCAGAAGCTTGTTGGAAAGGCTGAATGGCCAAATCGGGATGATGCTTTTGCCGTAGAAGCAGTGCCGGGTGCTCTGGGTTTGAAGGGAGCCACCAGTATTCTTGAAACGCAGGATATGTTGAACAAAACTTTTCAGTCCAGCACGACCGTTGCATAAATTGCTGGAATGTTGAGCTTGGATTGCAAGCAAATGCTTGATCCTGGTCAATCTACTGTACGTCACTATCTATGTATGAATATATATATATATATCTGTCTTTTTCTTTCTATATTTTTTT